AACCATACAGAACAATTTTTCCCAAACCCAGCAATTGTACATATAAATATATCTTGTCACAAAGTCAACTTTTATTGGGGAAACACCACCAAGCTGGCAAAAGTTAGAAGTGTTCTTTCATACCATCAAGGGCATTCTTTAGATCCACAAGCACAAATTGTGTAAGTCTGGCAGTATCTTCAACATGTCTGCATCAAAACCAGGGGTTTACGGTTCAAATCCCTCAGGTAATACATGTACTATGAAATATAACATACACACAGGTTATTGTAACTGAAGTAGGTATCACACATTGGTTTATGTCAATATCTGTGATTTTGACACATAAAATATGAACCAAAATTCCTGATCTTATAGATATATACATAGATATACTACAACATATATACTACTGTAACACAATGTAATAATGTATCCACTGTCTTCAAAGTTTATTTGGCCTGCACGTTTTTTTTTAGCGACCCCTCAGTTGTGGATCGTACCTTTTTGTTATCCAAGGTGCCGGGGTATATAGGTTAACAGTTATGGCATAATGACTACCAAACCAAAAAAGAAAGGAAGCCAGCCAGGAAATGTTTCCCCACTCCAAGAACGTACCAATATATATAGAGTACTTTCCACACCCTGAATGGACTTTTCTTCATATGTACGAAAAAACACGGGAAAAAAACAAAACATTTGTACCTAGAGTGAAAATGTGTTCGGTGAAGTTATTCTACATTTGGGTGGAATGTGTCATCTGAGCTACAAAATCAACAATGATCATCTATAAGTTTTTTTTGTCTGTACACTGTCACATTACCATTAGGGCCAGTAGTCAAAAATGGTCCCATATTTCTTTGTTGTGTATCGGAGTAGTTGGGGCATAGCTACAGAACTCCCATGAGAAGAGTATTATTATATGTATAGAAAGATATGTACAGGTAAGATGGCAGTGGCTAGCACTCCTCCAACACATCGATGATGTGAGCTATCTTCATGTCACCTTTGTTTCCAACAGCGTTCTGGAAAGGCAACAAAGGAATGCAACATGAGCTATTTTTCCATGTCATACTTTTAGATGTCACACTATCGTACCTATAACATATATGGTGTTATGATTAAGTTATGGCATCAAATCATGGTAATGGTCTTTAAAATTAATAAGTTAAGAGGGTCTGAGATGCCACACCCTTCTAAGCAAAGAAACAAGCAAAACTAAAGATGTTTTGGCCTTTGAAATCATTCTTGATTACAATACATTGCTAGTCATAACTTTTAAGACAAATTCTACCTTATCTAAGTACTGCAAATGGCTGGCGTATTCTTACCGTGAGACTGATGAAGGACAGGAACTTTTTCAGCATGGTGACCATCCTGCTGAAGTCTCCGTTGGGAAGATGCTGCCTCACTGCCTCTACATTACCCTATGGGAGGGGGGCAATAAACCACAGCTTACAACACAGCACAGATACACCAACTTACACAATCGAACTTGGATGAGGATGGAACTCAGATCTACCAAATGCATGGCGAACACTCTACCCACTAGGCTGTTGCACAGATCCCCAAGGGAGTGAAGTTTCTTTAATGCTTGTCTGTCTGTCTGTGTGTCTATCTGCTAGTGTAAGTGCATGTTTCCACATTGTAATTGATGATTCTGATGGAAACTTCAGAAAGTGTATAGACAGTACTAACCTCACTCTCCTGTACAAAACACCCCAGCAGCAGTGCTACGTAGGACGAAACAATACTGTCTTCCATGTGCTTCCCTGCTTTGTGAAGTGCTGTGGTGGGGAAGAGACATTCATATACACATGATGACCTTCACTTTGAGAACTACAGGCAACAGCAATTTTACACAAATCCTCAACAGCAGCAATCTTTCATATTACAAACAACAACAATAGTAATGGTGACAAGGCACTTTATTTTGTGAGCTTTACTATATGGGCTCGAACTACTAGGAAGGACCCCTTGTCTTTTCCACACATTACCTTTTGAGAGTACATCCTTCTCATCCTCCTGTGAGCTGGGTTCTTCCTCCTCCTTCTCCTCCTCCTCCTTACTGTCCCCGCTCACCCACTCCAGCCCGTCTCCCGTGACACGCCACTCCCCGCTCTGCTCCGCCTGCTCTGTCGTCCCCTCAGCTTCCCGCGCGGCCGCCTCTCTGTCTAAGAACAACTGCAGGAGGGACGCACAACAAAAACAAGTCAACAAACACCACAAATGTACAAAGTGCTTAACGACAATTAGAGATAGATGGCATCAAACGGTCAAATGGCTAAGCTAGTAGACACGAGATTGAGAGGTCACAGGTTCTACTCCTTGCATTCAGGCTAGACCTTGTGTCCTTGGGAAAGGCCCTTTTCATGGATTTCCTCACTCTTACTAGATATAAAATGGGTACCTGACTTTGGTTGAGGAAGAAAAAGGCAATGGTAGGAGACACTGTGGACTAACAACCCAATACCTACAGTCTCACAAAGGCTTTGGGACTCCTTTTCTTTTAGAGATAAATAAATAAAATTCCCCATGACCCAAAACCCTAGTCACTAACCTTAATCAAAGCCTCCACTGCGGTGGTTTCTACGGCTCGACGCTCTGGACTGGTGCCGACGGAATCGTACGCAAACGGAGCTCGCGTTTCCGTCAGCAGAAGGCGGTTCTTGGCACTGTGTTCTAGAAGGTTGATGAGCAGTCCCAAACCCTGGAGGACAAAAATTAACATTTACAGCATATTCACCTACACTTGGTCTGTACACATATCTTTTCTGGTCTACTCCTATTTTGATTCATTGTGATCTCAAAACATGGCATGGATTAAGAATAGAACACTTCAGCATGTTTGTTGGCAAAATGCTCTATATGTACATGTACCAGTAAATTTGTTTTTTCTCGTTAAAATTTCAGCGCATAGCAAAAAAAAGTTCCACGGTTTAAGAATTGTTGGGACATTGGTTGCTGAGTGAACTCACCAGTACATGCATGTCAAAGCGTTGTTCTGCAGGGAGGTACTGTGGTGCCTGCAGCACACACAGGAGAGCTGTCTTCAGCAGGCCAGGCTGTTCTCCCACCTTGGTGCTACCCCACTCTGTGGAACAAAAACAGACAAACAGATATAAGAATGCAATGTACTGGTTGTACTACTGGTAGTCAGTCTATACACTCTGCAATAATTGGCTTCATTAAAGCATATCTAACATGTTCAGTACACAAGGCCAACTTTTTATCATTTGTTTATGGTTCTAGATGATATTCATAGTTCAATATTTCTTAATAGGCACCAGGCCCCATCATATTGCATGGACAAAACACCAATTTGACTTACTGGTTCTAATTTCTTGGATTTAAAAACATACCACAGTAATAATTCAATACAGCAGAAATTGTTGAACTGGACTATTCCCCACATGTCAGCAAAACGTACTACGCCAGTGCAAAACCCTGATTTTTCACAGTTTTCATTGAATGTTTGGTCAACGTTGCATCAGAATTTTGCCTGTTGCCATAACATTTTGTAACTAAAGACAGGATGTTAACCTTATATGCACGAATACAACCTTATATGAGACGTTCTGTCGCAGTTCTATGTACAATACATTACTGGTTTCACGCAGGTGCAGTACATTCAGCCGACGTGCTACTGTTCCCTACCGTTGTCATGAGTCAGGTTGAGCAGCACCCTGAGTAGAGCCAGCAGACAGCTGCGTACGACCGTGCCCGGCGTGGCCAGCACGCTGTCATCGTCCTCATGCTGTCCGTTCAGCGGGAGCGAGTCGTCGTCTGCAAAGTGCTCGCACATTTTGGTGAAGGACTTGAGCGCCCGAACAACAGCGCCCACCAGCTCCGCAGACTTGTAGTTGAGGAGGTACCCCTGATTGTCCGTGTTCATGAATGTCACCTGGGACAAAAATTGGATACAGATGTGTGAGTTCTAATCCCAGGACAGCTAAATATTGCCACAATTTTTTCTTTGCCCTTCTGTCAAGAAAGTAAAGCAAGCACAACCTCATTTTTGAGGTGGAAATTTTCATCCTCCAAGTTTTAACATTTGATCTCAATAATACAGTAGCATTGTATTGGGTTTTGCTCTTGTTTTATATTCATGTTCTTGAGTAGAGGGCTTTATATAAGCAATTGTGCTTTGTGCTTGATACTCGTTAAACATATGCGAGTAAATAAATGAATTGTAATCTTACACAAATTCTACTGATACTGACTATGTTAACACAGATCATCCTTTTTTTGCCTTTTAGAGAAATTTTATTTGAAATTTGGCAAAAATTCAAAACAAAAAGGCAACTATAAACATCTTAATCCAACCCCAATCACTCTTTGACAATCCTCCAATAGAAATTTGGCAGCCATTCAACTTATAACGCATTTTGTTGGTATAACATACAGCATCGTCTAAACCTCGGAAGACGAGGAACAAGACGATAAACTGGATAGTGAGTGAGTAGTATGACATATCCTCCATTTCTAAGAAGTTAGTAGTTTGATTGACAGAAACATTGTGACTTACATTCTCCAGCACCCGTAGACACCTGTCCATCTTCCTGAGCCGCAGCATGGCCGGATCGTCTGGCTTCTTCTCTCCATCACCAAGGCACGCCTCACAACCCATCACTACAGAACACACAGTAGGCAAGAAAACTCATTACATAGTTCTTGAAATTCAGACCTTGCTATCGATATTGATAGTTTATTGCAGACTTGTTCCTGTGGGCAGATTATAAGTGAACAAGTGATGACATACATACAGTGAATGAGTATATATGTCACAGGTTGTATGTGAAAAGAACAATGAGGATTACACTACACTGCTGGTCTACAGTAAGGTTTTACATCTACATGCATGTTACTTATGTGGGGTTTGATTTCTTCTTTGGAAGCAGTGGAAAATGAAAAGCCCTAAGTTTTTAATGAATGGAATGAAGGAATACTGTTTTCTCTAGGTTTGTTAGCCAAGAAAAGCTTGGAATTACAGCATTTCTTACAGTCAACAATACTGAGCACATTTAGCAACATAACTACAGAAAACCCTGCCGTGATACCACAGGACAAGAGGAAACCCTGGTGTGATACCCACCCATATCTGCCAGACGGTCCAGACCACCCAACTTCCTGACCTCCTCCTTAAAGGCGTCACCTGCACGCTTAGAGGTCAAGGTCAGCAGACACTCCATGGCCAGCAAACCCGCCTGAGGAAAAAATAATGCACATTTATCTCAGAGTTTCCATTTATCTCAGACTTCCATTTGCTATTTTGGGATGAACATCAATTCTCCATGATTAACACTAGAAAGTTAACATTTGCTAGCAAATGCAGAATACCTCATGTACCATCCGTCCCCACTGCAAAAATTTTAACACCAAAAGCGTGACATCTTTTGGAAAGGTGTCCGATCACATGATGGGAAAAGAGAAGGAACAATTTTCCTCAAGTGTGGGGAATAAACTATAAATACCTTGATGGCTAGAACTATTTTTCTAAGGCATTGGATAAAAGGCAAATCACAAAGAAAGACAATGTTTGAACAGAACAAGTAACTTACAGAAATGGTGTTCATCTTCAAATGTTTGTTGTTGGTCTTTTCGCAGAGTTGCTGGACTTTCTCCCTAATCTTGTTGTACTCGCGCCCCTGTACGGCCCCGCCTGTTGGCTCGGCCGGCTGGGCGTCCACACTGAGCAGCTGGATCATGAGCTGCAGACAGGTGGAGTCCAGGTCCATGTTCATCCGGTCACGACTCAACATGTACATCAGCAGGGCTGTGCACAGGGACAGGGCCTGCAACAGTACAGGATACAGACAATACCAAAATCAATCCTACAAATGTACCAACCATAGGGTATAGAGCATTTATATATTAATGCAACAGACATGTGCTGACCACCATGCTGGTATCCATATTTGCATTGTAATGGATTGCAGAATAAGAGTACCAGGGCTCGAAATCCTTTTTCTTCATACCTGCACTGGCATTTAATGTACTGGTGCAGGTAGCACTGAAAATTGTCTGCATCAGAAATACCCCCTCAGCTCCAAGCCTCCAACTTGCACTAACCTGCATGTGCAGGTGATATTTCAAGCACTACCTGTGATTCACTGCAATGTAGATAGGGACACCAACATGGTGGCAAACACAACTTGATAGTCAGGCAACCATAAATGAGAAAGAACCAACAGTTCAAATAAAAACCTGCTCTTCTTCCTTTCTATAAAAATTCAGACATATATACACTTAAAATGTTGGTCTCCAACAATATTTTCTGTAATAACATGACCAGTGCTCACCGGATCTGATGCAGCGTCCTGGAGTTCCCCAAACACTTTGTTGATCGTGCTGTTTGCTCGCAAATGTAGGCGGAAGATCGGGGCCAAGCACTTGGTCGCCAGACTGATCAAACTGGAAAAACACACAAAGAGTACAAATAAGTATATCTCACACTATACAGAGACTTATAATTCATTTACACACGAGACAAAAATACCAGTCTGGAACCAATCTTATCATTCTAAATCTAATGCTCTAGGTCAAAATGTTAGAAGTCAAAGCAAGTGCAAAATGTAAAACATCAAAATTTCTGAGGTAATTATCTGGTAATAAAAGCTTTGATGTGTATGGCCGAGTCATTAAAGTGTCAAGCAGAAAATCTAGGACTAGTCAGACTTTCTCTAAAATAGAATTTGCCCTGAAATTTTTTATGACATACAACTCACAAAGTTATATTAGAGCAGTAATGTATGTCTTCAAATACCTGGAGGGTTATTGATGTCTTCATAAAATCATACGCACATGCAGTAAATTAATGAACCTGGAAAATCTTTCATAACTGGATTTTATTTTAAGACGTGAATTCATGAATCATAGAAGCTGTTGTTGGCTTGTCTCATAATTTCAACAATATTTCCAGTTTCACTCTGGCAGTATGATTTATTATACAGACCTGAAAAATGACAGTGCTCTTATTATGACCCTGTATAACCACCACTACTGAATAATACATACATGTATGCACAGAAGAAATACACATGTATGGTGCGTACAAGGACACATATAATCGTGCCTCCAAGGTAAATATACAGGAGCAGGGCCTTAAATTTCAGGTGCAACACAACATACTGACCTACTTCTGTTCCAAGCAATGTTTTAAAAAGCAACATCCCCATAGAGAAAAAATTTACAGTTCAATAAAGTATAAACTCAAGTTCAGTATAAAACTGAGGTAAAAAACACCACATAGAATTACATAGACATAGACAGTAGTTTTATGTTCTCTCTTGCTTTACTTTACTTTCTTTGACACTGTACATGGATTTTGCTAATAAAAAGTAATACTGGGAATTTGAAGTCAGGACTGGGAACTACTTTTAGTTTCTTCCCCTACAAAAAATAGTTCAGAAAAAGTGTTCTTACCTTAGACATCTTGTTCCAGCACTCTCTGTGTTCTTGAGTCCATCCAGCAGGTATTCAATGTCATCCAAGAACTCCTGGCTCTCTCCCAGCTCTATACAGTCATTATAGTTCTTCACATTACTCACCACAGTGTACAGCTGTGAGGGGGAGGGGGGCGGCAACCGTCAGAGACAAGGCAATAGATGGTTCAATATAGATCAAAAGGCACAGGTCACAAGATGGCTCAGAATAACATAAATTGTATGGTGAAATGTACAATAATGTACCTATGCATCAAAAGGGTCCCATGACACACAAAACAAAAAAAAACACGAAGTCACTTTTCAATCAAAATGATGCACACATCTTGAGCTGATAGAGGCACAGTAAATTCATTCATTTTAATAGAAGAGGAAAGGAGGTTTAAGGAAGTTTGAGCTTGAAATACGTATTTGCAGTGTCGTGAATTTGTGGTGGTAAGGTTGAAGCAAAAAGTAAACCACAGAAACATCATTTCAAGATTTACAGTACAACCATTAAAAAGTATAATAAGTAACAATCTCCTTCGTCAGTGAATCGTCACCTATTGAAGTGAATCACAATGCTTTATCTATTGGCTAATACCAACACAGACAGCCCTGTAGTCACTTTTCAATTCAAAAAAGGTGCTCACATCTGAGAGCTGACAGAGGTACAGTCACATCAATCAATATCCCACAAATAAGCTACCGTAATGTACCAAGAACTGAAATGTCAAGACATTGTTGACTTTTTCCCTTTGTTAATTCAGCATGGCTCTCTCCCACTAGGGAAGTTCTCTGTGCTTTTGTGAGGGTTAAGTCTTTGTTGACAGCACCATATGGACCATTAATACAGGAATTAACCATGGAGGAAGACAAGACCTTTTCACACAATGGACTTTCCACATTATCAATCATTAATGGCTCATTAGGCTTTCTGCATTGTGGAATACCCTAAACATGTCTGGAATTTCATTACAACTGTAAATACACCAATAACAATAGAAATACCATTGAAATAAAAAATGTGGAATCAACACTACATCACATCAGTGTTCTGGCTAGCCTGAATTTTTTTCTGTCATCTCAATTTTGCTGGACGTTGAATCTGGTCGAACGCCCAAGGCAGGATGCATCGTGCCCCTCGGAGTGTCTGGGGGTATGCTTCCGAAAGTTCCAGTGATAATTTTGAAGCCTTGACCCTCTAAAATGCTATTTCCTGCATTTTAAGGGATAAATATTGCTGGTTGACTACTACATTCAGTTGAACTTGAAGGAAATCTCTTTATCTATATCTATTCCCTGATTTTAGTCCGTCAAAGACAACAGATTTAGCAAAATTTTTGTCTGTTTGTGAGCAACAAAATTCCATCAAATGAAGGAAAGACGGATGCTGGCTAGAACGCTGATCTCAAAGAGTAAAGATATTAGCAAGAGAAGAACGTGAAGCAGAAATTTGTTGGTATACTCGGAGATGTACCTCTTTTTGTTCGCGAGGAACCCTCAGCGCTGTGACTGGTGCATGGTGGGAACGCTGCGCCACCGACGTTCTGCGTGTCAGCAGCAGGGGCGCGGTGGCAGGCTCATCATCATCATCATCGTCAACCTCGTAAACTTCCGCGTCCTGTCATAAGTGGGGAAAATAATTTTGACTATCCACGCAATATCTCACAATATCATTAGTTAATTTATTTTCTGAAATATAATGGCAAACCTGAAAGAAAGCATAAAATAATGCATATCATATGACAAACTATGCTAATTAAATAATACCTGCTATACCACATAATACCCTGTACACTGCATTCAAAAGAAGAAAGAAAGTAATCTATCAAGAAGTGGTCATATTGAATACAAACAATGAACCACCTTCACAGAAATTTCAAGCTCATTTTGCCGTCACATTATCATGTCAAATGACCAGAATTAATCTGTGGAACTACGGCCTTACCTTTGGTGGGGGAGGAGGGGGCATCAGAGTTGGCTTTGGAGCAAATTTAAACATCTCCATGTTAATCAGGAATTAATATTGATGGGTGCTTTGAAAAATTCATACTAAAATGATCTCTCCAGGGAAGCAATGTACATGTATCTAACAAAATACATCCCTATCACAAATGATAAACCCAGGTTTGAACTTGATTCTAAAACTTTTTCTTGGAGCCATTCAAAACTAGACATCTCTTTTTCTGGATTATTTCCCAAACAGACTCTGATACTTTGTTATAGAATTTCTCTCAGCTCAGCTATCCACATTTTGCATTGAGAAAATAACATATCAAAGATCAAATTCAAGCTTCAAAGGAAATTTTTTGTAAATGGTATCTAGAGATTGTTAGGATTTTCCATGTTGTAACTTTGTGTTTTACTTTTAGGTCAACGAGTTCCAGAACCAAGTCCTTCCATTTGTGTGGCAGAACAGGGAGATGAACTTACGTCAAAGCTCTCGGAGGTGCTTGGTTGCCATGGGCGGGGATTGTACCTCACCTTAGCAGGCGACTGCAAGGAAAAAGAACAAAGCAGCTATTGTTAGGACACCGTTACCATTTCCTCTTGGACTGAGGAAGACATTAAACTAATTTTGGACACCATCCTGGGACCAGGAATTTTTATGTGAGGTCAAAAGTTGATGCAAAGGGTAATATGTAAGTGCAGAGATCACCACGAATATGGTACCATTCTTTCGCACATGCACACAAAACTTTCTGTTCCTCCTAAAACAGAAATATGGTATACATTATACAGATTCAAGTGTAATGACTAAAAGCATTCTTAAAATAAACATGCTTTTTCCATACCCAAAGGGGAGTGTTCACTACATTCCTTTGGGGGTTTACGACATACAGATGAACTTTTTACATCATGAACTGCAAATGAACCTCCCGTGTTATGAATATGCATAAGTCAATTAGATTATCTTAGACCAGACCAATTCAGTTCTTCGTTTTCTGATTCGTCTGCTCCAGTTTCTCCAAAGAAAGGTCCCATTAGTTGTTCTTACTTGTTCAACAATTCTTTAAAATATGTGAAAATAATAAATATGACAATGATATGTTACACATACAACGCACTGCTCTTCCAAACCGACTTGTAACTTAGGAGTAAGAAAAAATATGGCGATTGCTCTCTTCCTAACCCTACATGGAGAGTTCAACCTAGTAATTTCTGGGGGCTAATTGAAGAGCTCCATTGTTGAATGTTTATGAGCCGTTTAATGATCAGAACACCCGCTCTGGCTAGCAGTGTGGTCAGCCAGCTTGGGCCCGATTTAGACTAGAAACGCTTAAGGGGTTTTGGCTAGGGAAACGTTTCGGAACGGTTAACCGTTCCCGGTCTAAAGAGGAAAAAACGGTTTGTTTTGGGTTTTCGTGGACCGTTTCCGAAAACCACCTCCATCGTGGTTTTCGACCGTTTCAGAACCCTTCAGCGGGGGGCCCGAAACGCTTTTTGCTAGGTCTAAAGTCAAAGGGTTTCTTGAAACGGTAAACCAGGTCACGTGTTATATGCTAATCACATGCTAATAAGCCAGCGCACGTCCATTTTCTGGTAGATTCGCGCCATATTCGATTGTGTCCATTTTCGCCATTTTATATCATGTATTTCTCGAATTTTCATCATCCTTTATGTCTGGAGGGATGGCAGAAGGCCAGGGGAGGGTCTGGACCCAAGAAGAGATCCGCTGCTTGATCAGCTTGTGGGCCGATCAAACTATACAATCCCGCTTGGAGACCTCGCGTAATAGGGAGGGCATACAGATGCTTGTGGACGGGCTGGCGGCTGAGGGGTATTTTATTAATACGCACCCCAAAGTTTGGGTGAAGTTCAAAGCCCTAAAACACAAGTATCGTAAGGCCAATGAGACAAACCGTAGAAGCGGCTCGGGGAGGTCATCATAGGTCACTGTGGGTCAGAAACATCCTGCGCCACGGGCGGCCCGAAAAGCTTCCGCCTCTGTGTCTAAAGACGAACCGTTTTCTGTGGCGAAACGTTTCGTACCGTTTCGAAACGGTATACCGTTTCTAGTCTAAATCGGGCCTTGGTCTCCCTGGTCAGGGATCAAAATAATTCTGTTACCTGCAAAATGTGAATTACATTACACTCCTAGCTTGTCAATTTGCATGTTGTTTATGATTACATTTTTTTGTCAACATCTTTTCTGCAATTACAGGTTGTGGTTGCTTGGGTATCCTAAGCCCTTAACTCGAAAGCTGGAAATAAGTAGAAATTTGAAATCTGTTGTGGTCAGGAGGTTTTTTTTTTTTTGCTTTTTTTTTACATTTCCTACCATTACATGTTTCAAGTAGTGGCTGAGATTCCCCCTACTAGTACTACTAGGGAACAGAATCATACAAGAGGCTACAAAGCTAAGAAAAGAAAAAAAAAACAATCTCCAGTCTAAACCTCTGCTTGGAGTTGGAGAGTACAGATTTCACTTCAAAGACCCAATAATCAGGCAGTTTCTTGGAAATAAGCTTTTAGCTATTTGCATACATAACAAGATTAAAGTTACTACAGAAAAGTCAACCATGTTTGATAATTCTTGACATCTACGAAAGATTAATGTTAGCAGATTGAATTGAATTATCAAGTTTCATTATATTTCAAAGAATGTCTGAAATCGGAGTGCAGCCTTCAAACGTGAGAGTAGAAACAAAACTTGAATACCAAAGCAGAGCCATTTATGGGTGTTGGTCCTTATAGCTACGATATTACTGGGTTAGACTCACCTTTTTAGGGCTGTAGAATTTGCGTGGCTTCCTGGGTTCCCCACTAGCAGTTGGTTGGGACCGCGAGGGAAGCTCTTCTTCATCAAACCCGAACGGGTCCTCGTCTCGTGCACTTGACTGTGAGGACGGCAAGCCCTGGCTACCCTTGCTGGTGCTCGGCTGCGACAGAGAGGCAAAGCCGCTCGTACTCGGCTGTGATGACGACAACTTGCTGCTTGTAGAACTCTGTGAGGACGACGGTAATGAACCCTCGTCGCACGATGGTGCGTACGAGAGTCTCGAAGCGTACGCTTTCAGAGCTGTCTGTGACTTGTTGGCTGCTGAGGCAACAGGAGCCTGTGTCGTACACACGGTACTTTTACTGGCAACAGTTGCACCAACCTTGCTGCTAACACAAGACACTGGTATACTTGCAGTACTGGTTGTTGATGTACTAGCCGTAGTTGGAGCTGCCTTTCTAGCCGTACCCACCACAATTCGGACCCTCGGCTGTCCCCCGGATATCGTCCTTGTTTGGGGAAGGCCGGGCCATTTCGGGGACTCATCGTCGTCCGAGGACTGCGAACTGTTCCAGGTGTACGACCTAACGGGAGGCCGTGACTTGGTGATGCTTGCCCATCTCTCGTCCAAGGTCATGCTATTGCTGCTGCCTGCCCCTACCCCACTTGAATCCACTTTAACACAAGTGCGTGCCCAGTTTGAATTACTGGAGACTGCACTACTGCTATTCGTTAATCCACTCCACGACGGTCTACCCTGTTCCTTTTTCTCTGAATCTGACGAAAGCCCATCCTCGGAGTCTGAAAAATCGAAAGCGTCTTTCCCTGAGTTGACACTATTCTTTTTCGGGGAGGCAAAAATGAATGGGTCGTCTTCAACTTTAGCTGCGGGTGTCTCTTTTACTTTTGAACGCGATATCGATGATGGCATATCAAAATTGTCCTTGGGAGAGTTTTGAGCTGCCTGATTGGATTTGGAAACTGCAGCGACGGCCCGGTCAAACAATAACTCTGCCGTCACCTTACCTTCTTTCAGTTTTGTTTTTGACACGTTGGATTTCATAGAAGAAGCAGCGTATGAATGTTCGCTGGGCGCGTTCTTGGTCGCCACGGGCTTGGAATGAGCTGCGTACGAATGATCGGCAGATTCACTCAGAGAAACTGCCTTTGGCTGCGGTGTTAACACTGAGGTTGTTGTCACATGGTGTGCGTAGGAGTGATCAGAATAATCGTCCGACGCATTTCGCACCGAAGGCTTCTGGATAGATGAGTACGCGTGGTCACTGGTAGGCTTTTTCTGAGGCGAGGATAGGTAAGTGTGGTCGTCTTTTACACTCTGAACTGGAGGTCTATGCATGGAAACATATGCATGATCCCCTGTCGCTTTGGGCTGTACCGGCTTGTGCACAGATCGGGCAGTATACGAATGCTCTCCCATACTCGGCGGAGCGGGCTTACACAGCGACGTGTACGAATGCTCCTCCGCTGGAATATTCTTGCGGGGCGAAGTCCGCAGCCCCCTTCGAGAAGAGTGATCATCATCGCTGCTGTCAAAACTGAAAGGGTCGTCGCTATTCAACCGCCTTCGCTTGTGTTCAACTTGCTGTTCGTTCTCTACGTTGTGCCTCCGCGTCATACGTACGGCAGTGAACGTCGTGTTACCCCATTTCTGTGTCTTGGAGGAGGCTTTCGCTGCCAAAGGACGCTTCCCCGAATCACCGCCAAATACCTGGTCAAACTTACTGGTGGGTTCTTCCACCTTGGGCTTGGCTCCCCGACTGTATGTTTTGACGCCGTAGCGTGGCATGGTGACTCCTATCCCAACCTACAACAGTCCAAACAGATATGCTGCCTTCTTTCTAGAATAACACTGTCCTTCGGGATACTGTAAGAAGAAAAAAGTAGAATTAAGCATTGATACTCTGGTATTTGTAATCACAACTGTCTTGTCTTTTCTTCAGCAGGTACTTTCTACTACAAGCAGCATGTTTCAAAATGAGACCATGAATGCCAATATCTAACAGGAAAATAACATTTAAAAAAAATTAACAATGCCCCCCCTCCAAAAAAAAACCCAAAAGGTTACCAAATAGAGATTCTGCAATTTTCTGGGCAATTATCATACAAAACACCTGGTCGGTTTGATATTTTCTGACAGACAGGAATGATTTATAATCACCTGCTATAGGAAAACATTGAACATCTGCACAGTAAATTTGATACAGGTCACCTGGTCAGACTCTGTGGATGAAGCGACCTTCAAAAGCAGCTGCAGTGTGTAACTCAAGGCCTGATCTATGATATTATGCTCTTATAAAATACTCTCGATATATTCCTTAACGTATTTGTGTAGATACAATATTAGTCATTTCACTTTCAGAGAAATAAAACAACTTATTGTTCCTGAACTTCCTTTTATAAAAAAAAAGGTGCAGCTTAGTTTCTATTTACTTCTTCTACACTTTTGTTGACAAATTTCATAATTCATCTCTTTAAAATAAATAAAACACTTCAAAAGCTGCTCAAATGCAAATACATGTACAGTACAATTTACAGTACAGTACTTAAACTTAGAAAAACAGTATTTTTAGGACACCATAACTTTAACATACGAATTACATGAAACCATATTGCACACTGTGTGAAAATCATCACAAAAAACATTTCATCAACTTAACCTAAATGAGATTCTTAAATAACATTTATTTGTGAAGCGCAATACTGTCCTTTTGTACTGTCTCCTTCTCTTCTCTTCACGTCTCTTTCTTTGTCAACAATAACCTAAGGCCAATTTCAGGAGGGGTGGGTTGACAAGGAAAAATGAAAATATCAATTATGCAGGCTGTCTAACTAATTTTAAAGCACAATTGTTCATACAAATTGAAAATCTGTAGATTTTCTAGACTTAGAACTAGATCTTGCTTCCTAGATGTGATTGGTTTTACTGGAATAGCCCTAATTATAACCTGCACAAATTGTAAACATTTCCGATCTTGTACGAAATACACAGAGGATGAGGAATATTTTTGCCCTAATTGATTTAAAGATGCTTTAGTAGTGATCTTGGTGATGTTGTTTTGAACATTTGATAGAGAAATTCCTGACCAAAAACGTCCTGCCGCTGTCGATCTGACATGACATGCTCTTGTCTGAGAACAACAGGGCGATGTTTGGTCGTAAAAATGTTGGCGCTTCACGTGGCTCCCCTCTTTCCGGGCCTCAAATTCGTCCCAAAATAAACCCAACTTTGACGAGTTTGGTCAGAATTATACAAAGGGAGACTTCTAAGCGTTTCTGTGAGGAGAGGAAGTGACTTAGGGCGGCTGTACTGCCGGAATTTCCACATCCACATTGTGAAGATGATACGTTCGACACAATATCCTGACTGGGTTTTAGTGAGCCGTGGAGGGGCATCATTTGTGGTAAAAATCGTGACAGAGAAACACACAGGGAAACGTTCAGATATAAATGCTGACCTACCTGACAACTAAATCCACAATTTGAGCGCCTCAGAGGGCCAGCAGACACCACCGATCGTGCGAAATGGAAATTGTTTCGGCGGAAAAGAAAATCTTCCTCGTAAACTTGTCCGCCATCTTGATGACGCCTGCGCCCTCTCCGACCTAGATTTGAAGATGTAACGGAGCCTCCCATTGGCTGAACTCGTGACCCTCATCTCCATAGATGGCGGGAAAATAACGGTTATTTTTCTACACCGTTTCAGGCAGAATCTGAAGTTCTACATTTCGTGCTAAACATTCAGAAGACATATTTAGCTAACACGTTATTGTACTATGTATCCTGCTTATTGCTAGCCAATAGATTTTCCCGTAATGGACGCCAGGCATGCAAGCTCAAATGACAAAAATGGCGGTAAGTTTCAAATGTTTGTTTTGGGTCACTTCCTTATGTCTTACGGTAACTTGACACAGTTTGATCTTTTGTGTACACTTTCATAACTGACGATAGCTGAAATTAAATTGCAGACGAGAATTGTAACTAGAGTTTGTAATAGCTCATATTCGGCAGAGAACCACAATTTTGGAGCAATTTGATAAGAACACTTATTGCGGCGTAACTGCGTTGCAAGAAACTTCTTAGATCTTTCTGGTGTGTGCACTGAAAATTGTGATCCGGTGCTACTATAATTGTGGTGTTTGCTTCTTTTGTTTTTACAGATAACGAGGTTTTCTTGTGCTTTATCTTTCTTCCGGTTCTTGCAATGTGAAATATGTTCACAAGAGGGCGCTTGTGTATTGCAATGTTTTGACGCCCTCCGTTGTTGTGATGCCTCTTGTGGATGCTAGAAGTCGCTTTTGAGTTATGTCAGCCTCAGCTGCTTTACTGTCTTCTGTCAAATCGTTAAGTTTAGATTTGGTTATAATTGTTACAGAATGTATATATGCCCCCTGCACGATTGCCAGTACGTCGAAAGCAAAGTATTGTGTTGTGTCCACATCTGCTGACTTAGGCAAGCTACAGTTTTCTGTGTCCTAAACAGTTGCAAAAGTTGGTAATTTCTGTCTTCCAAAAGACCTTGTTTATCCCCCATAAGCTAGCACACTACGCCGGCGCTGTTTGCAAATCACGACTGTTTGTCGGTATGCACGATACTTTCCGTGGTTCAAAAGTGTTTGTCCCTTTTCAATATCTCTACCCCAACAACAATTGTAGATGTTGGTGGTCCAAAGCCTAAAGAGGGACCCTCCGCACCCCAAGGGCGCGCTAAACACCTCAGGTCTTTCATTCGCCTCTTCCCTCTGTTGTTTATCACAATATTCCCCACCAAAGAAAGCGTAACGCTTGAAAAAAATAACAGCACAGAAGAATCGCTGGCATACCATCACGTCCGGGGCGCCTGTCGCCTTCAGTTCAAGTGTAAGGTTTACAGACATGTCAGACACACCTGTTCGACTAACACCTATGGTTTTCACAAGTACCGAGGTCTTTCCCACCCCACACCAAGGAAAACATGTACAATTGTATCCGAGAGGTAGAAGCAATGCTCCCCCCTTTGACAAGCACAAGATCAAAGGCGACTCCTTTATCCCAGGGTCACCCCGAGAAAGAAGGTAGAACAACGGACCTGAAACTTTGATACTCCTGTATTCGTCTGACAGTGAATGCCGCTAGCAAACAAACACTTCACTCGGGCTATCAAGCGGACAAGTGCGAGCTGGTGCAGACAAAGGCTGATCCTAAAATCAGCTGTGTCGGTCCTCTAGAGCTGCATTACTCGACCTGGTACGGAAAACATTGAGTGTGGATGGAAGGGATCGCTGTAACTCGCATGAGGAAAAAGATCCCTCTCTAGAGTGGGTATGCGAAACTACTTGCAAAGTGGTTAAACGTTCTAATTTTACTGTTTGCGATGGATGTTTTGAAAGCGTACCCATGAGCTGGCTGGATCAAACCGTCGTGAGAATTTGAACGAGGATGGGCCGAACTCAGGACCAAGCCGTTTGGACTACGGCGCTTGGTTTGTGGCATCTGCGAATGGTAACTGCAAGGAATGTCCTTGATAACTGCAAAATCGTGCTTTGAAGGCTGTGTATTTATAAAATTTCCTTTCGCATTTTTCCTAAATCGCAATATCTCTTCTCCATGTACTTACTTACAGATTAGCACTAGCATTTTTATTGCCAATAAAAACACCGGAAACATCATATTTATGTATACGTGTAACGGGTGGATGAACCAAGTAAAACGTCCTTAGATGAACAAACACGAACCCAAAATGATGCATGCCGTTCTAGACTGAAGTATCACCTCCTAACCCCACCCCTTTTCCCAGTTGAAGTCTACTGGGTTGTGGCACGTGGATGTTTTAAAACGTGTTTGCAAACACGCGCCTCGGCAGGGAGGTCTGTTTACCTGTATTGATGTGTAAACCTTCCCGTCGACCACAGACAAGCACTGTGTTGTCCCGAGTACCTGTTTCCTTTCCTCTGCGAACCTCCGGTTACCCACATCTTAAAATATCTGTTGGGGAAACAACGGGACAAAAGGAGGGGCGGACAGAGCCTTTGTTCTCCGGCCTGCCGCCCAGGTTTTGTCGGATGCAGGTGCGGGTCCCCGCCGACCACGTGGGGGAGGAGGGACGCTTTCTCTAATCGGTGTCGTAGAGGATAAGGTTTCATTCCCGACGTCACCTTTGATTCAGTCTTAAGACTATTAAGGAGATACGACCGCGACGATTAAGGACAATCGGAACAATCGTGTCCGGAACTAGGCAGGTTTTTTGATAACTGGTGAAGAAACTGGGTCTATGAGGAGATAGCCCGCGGTGGGGGGTGTTCCCACGGGTGGTGAAAGGGCGTACTCAGTACAAAGAGCTACAGTCTATATAATGGTTATGTTATAAGAGGGAGAATAGAGTTAGAAAGTTCAAAAGAGGGTCGACAGGTGGTGTACATGGTAACGTATTTAGAAGGGAAGGTGGTGATACTCGTATTAATATTTGGGGGACGGCTCTGTCTCCCAGTACTTTGCGGAAGGCTCGTGAACTTTTATTAGGCAAGAGTTTAAGAAAATCAAAGTCTTGAATGTGATGCGAGAGAAAGAGAAAGCAACACAGTTAGTTTGGAAACCATGAGTAGTGGGCCACAAAAGTAGGTTTCAAACAATACTTGTATCAAACAATACTTTTGGTCCCCTGCTAATACCGACTATATCCCCTGATATAGCCTTATCTACTCCTCCGGGTTTACTGTGATTTGTGCACACATTTCTTATTTTACAGGACGTAGATTTAAGGTCCTGGGAGCCTGGCACGGTCTTCAAACTTACACCCTGCTCTCACGCAAAAGTGCATTTACCGACTGGGTGAGGAAAATCAAGACCATTGCAAATAAATCTCGGCCAAGACACTTGTGCCAGGTTTAATTGATACATGACCTCTCCCTAAACCTGAACTTCACCCTGTCGGTGGCTCTCCTCACGAGATGGTAACAAATCTTTCAAGTCCGTTTCAATTCAACGGTTGGTTTGGCGCTCAGGATGTTGTATTTTTCTGTCAGCCATTTCTTCTAGTCCCTCTAGCTACAGGTTTATTTGGCGGTTTTGTAGATCATGAGTTACGAAACTAAAATACATGATCTTGAAAGAGGTATTTGACCTTCCGGAAGGATAGAGGTCATCGGTGTGAAGTACCAGCATGCCCTGTTGACCCTGAACTTGGCCAGACGTCCATCAGTCTTGACCTGTCAGCTGAAACTGCAGACGACACGTTCTCGTGGCTTGGTGCGTGGAGTTCAGACGCACTGCTGAACACGTGGGCGGTAACCGTCTGACTGTGACCTCCAGAAAAGTTTGCACACCGTGAAAGTCTCTCAATCAACGGACTATCAAAGTCGGAAGCCTCAGACAATATACACGTTAACTCTATGGGAGTCGCGAGAACATTGGTTTATGTAATGATGAACTAGCTTCCATTGCTGTTTTAGTCAGGGATCCTCTTGCATTCGTCGTACGCTAGATTTGCGACAGAACATTGATACTAGTACATTCTTGGGACAGTCCGACGGGTCGCCCAAAATTCAGCTGTCGTGAGGTTTCGTAGATCCTTTTTCCACTGTCAGTTCTGTTACAACGTTACATATAATCACGCTGAACATCCTACGCGACGTCGAATGTGTAGTAATAGTGGTAATAGTGTACTCGTACGAAACTTTACAGTCAAATTGTTTGGCTTGCCACTTTTTCAAACCCTAATCATTGACATGAAAGCAAGTTATGCCCTCAGAATGACCTCTAACATTTACCCACAGCAAATATTTGGTCTCGAAACCCCGAGCGCTAAGGCACCACAAAGGTGTGCGCTGGGTAACACCGGATGCGACACCTTATTTTGTTCAGTTGTTACCCACTTCATATACTCGCGCACAATACCGCGCACTGTGTGCTGATTTGCCAGGGGGCTTTAAACCCCCTTTGTCAGTCGTTCCTGCTTTTTGTGAAAATTAAAATCACGCCTACACACTGGTACGTTTATTTATTCAAGTCTCATTTGCTGCAAATCCGCTGTTGAGAGTTACGTAACGTTGACGTACGGAAGGGTGAGGTCAGGATACTCCAATCAGCAGCATTTTTTTCAGAGGGGTGCGGGGTCTTGGTGATACATTGACTTCAATGGAGAATGAAGGACGACAACTTTCTGAGTGGAAACGTTGTTTCAGCAAAGGGGGAAGGAATGAAACCTGACCAACACAGACAATGGGAAAGTCAGTAGTAGATAGAGAGATGACGAATTTGATAAACATTTTGAATCGGATTTATAGTGTGGGGCTTTTGTATGCCTTGCACCTGTTTGTAGCGTCTGTCGGCTTCTTGACTTTTCGCCCCCTTACGACTAGTGATGCAGTACTTTTTGGACACATGCCCAATCAAACCTTAGCAAGACATGTCAGAAGACAAGAGGAGAGTTTGTGAGAGGATATGCCCGTGACATGCATGTATCAAAACCGCCGATTTATATGCGTCACAGTAGCTAAAAGAAAGAACAGAATGATTCATGTTCTTTTGCCAGAAAAAAAGTACAATAGTTGGCAGGTTCGTGTTTCTTCTAATCACACGTACCGGAACGTTAACTTCATGCAGTCCTCTTTCAATGGTCAGATGCTGTAGTTGCAGGCATTGTCTATAGACATCAACTAT